GAATAGGTAGCAGTGGAGAATCTAGGAACTTTTGAAGGGGGTGATTTTTAAAAAGGTTTTACCAGAAATGCGAGGAAAAGCTAGGGGGTGGATTAGCAAGGGTAATACTGATCGAGAAAGTTGATCAAAAGAGGGGGAGGGGGAGGGGGAGTAGTGACTAGTCACCGCCTTTACCATCCGCCCCTGGGTAGTTTTGATAGAATAAAGTGTCTGTATCGAGAGATTCAAACAACTGTCAATATTTTTGGAGTTTTTAAATACCTCTTCTTCCATAGTCATTGAAACACAGCTGTACAAACACGTGATAGATCTGGTCACCACACAGATGGAATTGAATGGGACGACCTGGGATCTCGTAGGTCTTGTAGCCATAACCATTCTCGTCGAACCGTGCTGCCACGAAATACGTCTCAACAAAAATGATACAACCCAATAAAGTGCTTACTCCTCGAGGTAACATCTGATCTTAATACCTATATCAATAAAGAATAAATAAATAATTCATAAAAGTCAAAGATGGGATGATGACGAGGATGATGAAAGCGATGGCGAAGATAATGATGATAATGATACAATTTTGGCTATGAACTGCTAACGACCAATATGCATGGTATCAGATATAATTTTTTTTCCAGATTCTTATTTTGACGGCACTTGATGGTCATGCAACTGGTTAAAAAGTTTCAAATATACGTACCTTGATGGATATCACACAGCTATCATAACCAGTTCAATATGAATACAATTCCTTTCGAGTTTTCCTAATTTAAGAGGTCACAAATAGAAAACATTACACCTTGAACTGTGTGGGACTCAGTTGACGCTTTGTTCCATCAGAGTAGCTCAAAGTGGACTCACATATTGGGTTAATCGTAGCCGGACTGAAGAATGAAAGAAGCATGGTACCTGTCCATTTTAATCTACCATACAAAATAAACATATATACTATAAAGAGTGGGATTCGTTGGACAGGAGTACAAAAGAACTATTATATACATATATACGAGCATGTTATTGGCAATCAAATAATTTAAATGAATTTTTTTCATAAAAATATAACAAAAATTAAAATGATGGTGCCACCACCCCATCCCACAAGGTAAATTACGTCCCATTGTTGGCTCTTTCTCGCCACCACGCCATCCCACAAGGTAAATTACGTCCCATTGTTGGCTCTTTCTC